ACCGTGAATTACTTGAAAGAGAGCGGTTTGCTCAGATTTTGGACCGAAGGACCTCGGTCCAATGCGGTACGGTTTATAACAGGAACTCTTCTCCACGGTCGGACAGCATTGGTTAAGACCCTCAACTCATGGAGCGGATGATAAGGCACGCGCGGAACGGTCCCAACAGGAGCAATTCATTCGCTCCGGCTTCTGCGGTCTGGCAATCACCTAAAAAAACGGTACGGTAACCGACAACCCACGGTCATCGCCACTTGGTGAAAAAGGGACTGATGGTGACGTAATCTTCTCGGTCGTGTGCCGACATCAAGAATATGCGCAGAGCAGTCCCTGCTCGGGCGCCAAATTTGTAGGGCTACTTTGGTTTTCCGGTAAGAAAGCGGTCGGTTAGGGATTACTGGTGACGGAAAACTCGGGCGCCACCCTTAGGATTATAGTGGTTAAGGACCCACGTGCTCTAGGTAGCTTTCAAACAGTGGAGACGGAAAACCAGAGGACACTGCGCATTTTCCAAAAAATGAAACACACAATCCAACCAAGTAAATAGTTTCAATTGTTCACCTAATATTTATAATACAATAAGAAAATGCAAGAAAACTTAATTAACACGTTCACTACCGAGCGGTAAAGGGCTGTCATTTGGTATTGGACCAAGTATAATATCTTTAAAAGTATTATGAATATTTGAACGATTTTTAGACAAATAGGATCAGTTGGTGTTACTGAATAAAATTCCGCCATTTTGTTTCGAGGCCATTAAATTGGCCACTGGTCTGTGAGTGGTGCTTGACATTAGAATAGACCTTAGACAAGGAAAAAAGAGGGGACGGGTAACAGGCATTTACAAGCTTTCGCGTGAACGTGTGACCAAAAATTGATCGGCGGCCATAGTCCTGGTGCCAAACAAAGAACTTGACACCCGGGATATTTTCTGTATTTATGCGACGAAACGAATGAAATATATTTGTTTCAGTATCTGATCAAGATGGTGATTTCTGATGCTATCAATTGCAAGAGTCGTAGCGACAAAAAAGTGCCAGGAATTTCGTTTCACAGGTGAATAAATAATACTTGTTTCAACCTGGTTTTCTAACCTACAAAAATATTTCCATCATGAAGCCTGGTGATGGCCTGGTGTCATTTTATCACAATTTAGTTTCATTGGTTACTCGTCCCCTCTTTTTTCCTTGTCTAAGGAATAGACCAACGTCCATTTTAATGGCCTTGAACATAATATAGGAAAATACATCTGATTCAATGAAATATATTACAGAAAAATATCAGTCTCAGTAACCCATATTTTACTTATAAGTATGTGAGTTTAGGCACTCAATTCAGCAGGAATGCCGTCAGTACCAGCTGATTTATTGTTCTGTAGTTGTCTGATTGCCTTTTCAATCTCCTCTAATCTAGGAACCTTGCTCAGTTCTTGTTGTATTGGTTTCTGTGGAATTCCGTTGAAGAAATCATCTGTAATTTGTGATTCTCTGTTGAGTAATTCCTGAAAGTGTTACATTCAACGAGAATTAATAAAAGAACTGTCTTCAAGCGGTCTTGTGCCATCTTTGGATCGTACGGGATTGAGTCCTTTACCTTGGAGTAGTTGGTCCAATAAAAGTATAAAAGGAAACACACTATAATACATCTGGCATGTATCACAAAATACAGCAACGCTAAAGAACCAGAGGCCACTATAGTGGCTCTGCGCGCACAAGAAACATTAAGAATGGACCAAAGTACCTAATAACCGCACCATTCACGATCCGCTTCAAAATTTTAGTGAATAAGAGAGTAGGAATATATGGCCAGATTAATGGCCGCGGTTCACAACAGGAAACCGTAATGACCACCATAGTAGCCGGCGGTATTCAACGTGTTAAGGTACGGATTTATTTAAAATGAAATGCTTAACACAAAGAGAGAGAGAGCGTGTGAACGAGGATAAGAGAGAGACGGAGTGATATGCGTCACGATGCGGTCTGGTATGGAATGGAGGCAAGAAACTCCGGAATCACGAATGAACGGTCCAACTCCTACTGACGTCAGCGACTCGGATCAGCGCCCTAAGGCGCATGCGTGAATTTAAAACTAGGCAGAAAGCCAGTAGAATGAGAAGTCAGAATAAGCGTGAGACATTTATTCAATTAATTAAAACGCGGATAAAATAGTAAAAATTTAGTAACTTCGTTACAATCCCCTTTAGGAATCGATTTGTGAGTTTCGCAACCAAACAATCTTTATCTTATCCATGTTTGGTTTATATCCATACCATACCTCAGCAGGCAGTTTCTGATTGGCCAGTATTGAAGATTCTATTCTGTTCAATAAAAAAACTGAAGTCAAATCAGCCTCATCCCACATTTTCTTTAATATTGTCCGATTTAGCCTCCCCCATTTTGTTCTGGACTTCTTGGAACAGTGTATTGCAAATTAATTTCTTCATTGTTACACAAGTCTTTTAATTTTTGAGAAACATATTCGCCACCATTGTCCATTATCCAACCTTATTCTGTCTATTTTATTATTAAATTTTACTTTGACTTCTGTTAGCTTCTCTGTAACTTGGCTCTTGTTTTGCAGGAGAAAACAAACGCCAAAGTGTGAATAATGATCGATAAATGTCACCATTTTCCATCATATATTGCAGGCCTAAATGGTCCACACACATCAGGTGAAATACATTTCAATATTCCTTTTAATTTTCTTTCTTTATCTAGTCTCCCTAAAGGCAGCCTTGTTTATTTACTTTCAAAACAAGTTTCACAAATTTCAGGTGAGGGATATTTACTAGAATGACCCATTTTTCTGTGCATCAACAATTTACTTTCATTTACAGTTAGATTCACAATTGCTGTCTTGGGTTCTAGAGATATTTAAAATCTACTATACAAGGTGTCAATTTGAATACTTTCAATGCGAATATCTCTGAAAGTGAGAAAGTTAGAAAAACGTAATTTGGCAGAAATATTATACAGTTAGGGGGAACTAGAAGCACCGTAGTCAAAAATAATATTTCATCTTCTGTTTCATCATTATCATTGCTTTGATTAGGCAGGGTGGATGTTACTTTCAACAGTTTCAACTATATTTGCGTATGTCCAACCACATCACACGAATGACATTTAAAAGCACTGTTGCCAGATCTTACGATTATTCGTAAGATTACACGATTTTTGTCAGAATTTTACGATCTCACGAATGAGGTAGCAATTCCTACGAATTCTCTCTGTAGTAATACAAATCAGTAATGAAATATAATGTTTAATCGTGAATATTCGAAATAAAAATCCACTATACAATATTTAGTTAAGTTCCAAGAACACTTACGCTAATAGGACCACTTATTCAGTTGAAAGTGTCTGCCTGCCAAGTCCACGAGATCCCACTATTTGTGACGTCAGCTGCAGACCTCAACTCTTCGCAGAAAATGTAAAGCATTTTCCGAGTCCAAAAAACGAATTCATAAACGTTGAAATCACCTTTTCTAAATTTGAAATCGACAAAAAAATTAACTCACAAGCAAACCATCGAGGTCTGCAGGTGACGTCAACACAATCAGCTACTGATAGTGGTGACGTCACTCGCAGACTAGCTGCCGACTTGGCTGTCGAGAATTGATGAATGTACGCCTTATTAGGATGAGCAGTCCTGCGAATAATCAAAACGAGGTTCAGCTCTCAGAAACACCAGCTAAAAAAACAGGGTAGAAGATTTAATAATAAAATGTTTACTTCTTATGGATATAAAATCATGTTTACTTTTTACTTTATCAAAATCTATAAGAGAACATTGTTGTGCTGCTTCATTTTCTTATATTATTTAAGCAATGTTTAGTCTCACGATTTCTCACGATTTTTCTTTCTCGATTCTCACGAATTTTTTAAATTTTATCTGGCAACACTGTTTAAAAGGAAAATCTTTATTTGCATTTCCTGGGGCATTCCCAAAATTCCTGTTGAGGTTCCTATTTCTATAACTGCAAGCAAACGCAGCATCGTTTGATTCAAGTTCCACACATTCCGTTTTTCGACTTTCTTCCATCAAAGGTTTATTTTCGACAAAGTCCAGGCTCACCTTTGATTCCTCCTGGCAGAACATTACATCAATAGCTGTTACAACTGCTTGGAAACTGTATGGCATTGCTGACAACAGCTGGCATATTAACTCTTTGTCATCTACATTTCCACCCACCAGCAGCTTTTATTTGACTTACTGTTCCATCAAAATTAGTAGAGATTGTATTTAACTTAAATTTCATTGACCTAAGCTTCCTCTGCAGTTGTACCTGCATAAATATACCCTTTTTAACATATGTCTGTTCTAGAGATTCCATGATTTCCTTCGCTGATTTCATGTCTTTCATTGTTGTTGCCTTGTTGTTGTCTGCCAGCCCTGCGCAATTATGTTTCGAGCCTTTGCATCAGTTCTTAATGTCCGCAACAATTTTATACTTCCGATTTTTCGAATTTTCACTCATAAACAGGTACGAGGCAAAATTCCGCGACTTCCACGTGAACTGGGCCCATAACCTATTAAATTCTAAGGTCATGAGTGAAAAACAGTTCGTCTCTTATTATATTTATTTTAACAACTTGGAAATATTTTACATCGAAAACATCGAGCCAACAACTAACAAAACCGTTGACTTTTTCTACTGTCAGTTCTATCACACCCTACCGGTGGATGACAAGTTGTTCGCACATACTCGCAGCGAACTGCACTTATGAACTACAACACAGAAATTTTCTCCAACAATAATTACAGTAGTTTCAATATCATCAAACTTGATTCCACGATTGCTTCGATTATTCCGAAATTCTTCCTTCTTTGATGGAAGAACGTCTGTTGATATTTTCTCTAATATCCTTATTGCTGGCTCAAATTGTTTCGGTCCGCTGTGCGACGCGACGCCAAATCATGCGCCGCGACGTTGTTTTTAGTCCATCGTCGTTTTTGGCGAGAAAGGGCATTCGCGTGTCAGTCTGCGTCTAGACGTCTTTCAGAGCCTCGTCGCGATGCGTCCCAACTGTCAAAACTAACGTGGCCTCAAACGTGGAAAACTTGTGTTTTTGGAAACTTAATTTTTTTTCAATGAGACATCGTGACTACATAATAAGCGAGAATTTGGTAAGAATCAACTAATTTAATTAGGATAGTGCGAAAAATGTTACTTTTCGCATTTGTTAAAAATTAATCTCTTTCAAAAACCCTCTAGGGCTTTTTTTAATCACCTGGCACTGCACGTAATAATACATTATTAGCCGGAAATATAATTAATTAATTTCCTTGCCACATCAAAATTTAATTATTTTATTTCGCTATTCCCCAGTTTAATTAGTAAAGTTTCCATTATATTAGTTCTCTTGTATTAATAACTGATTTTAATTAGGCAAATTAATTTGTCTTAAAATTCAATTTCTATGCCACACATTTTATAATTTAGAAAATAAATTGTTCATTACTCGTGTGATGACGATTCCGCAACTCATTAAACTCTGATACACAATTAGTTTTTGAACAATAAATAACCGATTCTCGTCGTTATCGTCTTGTTTACAAGTCTGAAAGTTGTTAAGGGACCGGTCATTAGTCCTAACAGTGACCGGTCCAAAATATCGCCTCGTTACCAGAGTTCGGAGTCAATGGAAACCGCAACTTCGCTTCATTAGTGCTAACAAGGCGTCCCTTGAAGAGGAAATAGGTTCGACAATTTGACGGACTACTAGGTTGGAAAAGGATATCAAGTCATTTTATAGTTTTAGATACTTTGTTGTAATACCACCTGTTTTTTTTTTTTTTTTTTTTGGCATTATACCTCACCTTCTAGAATTTCCTTGGAGTTGAACAAGAATCACCTCACAAAGTGTCTGATTTACGTTTCCGGAAAGTTTATATCAACTCAAACTTTTTCCACAATTGCTGTGGATATGACAGGCAGTTGTTCTAAATAATATGCAGGACCACCTTTGACAAAAAAATAAAAGGAAGAATACCTTTTCAGGGAGAAACTTCTACCTCTTGCAATCGACAGTTCTACTGAGAATCTTCCAAAGGTCTGGTAGAAGTTATTCACCAGAGTACCTACATTGTATGTTAGGTTTCAACTTTGCTTTGTAAGTTACTATGTTAAAAAATAAAAATCCAGATGTCTATAGAAGAAGTCGTTAAAATTGCGTAGATTAACTCTAAAGTTAAAACTGCACCGAAGGAAAATTCCAAAAGGCCACTTCCGAAACGGCATTTAATGAGTATTAGACGGCCGAGGGTGGATTAACTGTCTTAAGTAAATTAAATTTATCGATCCGCCTTGTACTAGCTGTATTCTATTAAGAGGGCGGATTGTTTTAAATTACCTCCGGCGGAGTTTTCGTTTTGTTTCAGTTCGATAATTAACATTCCGCCATAGAATTTTAAATTAAAATATCGACGTGCGCGGTCGCTTAATAAACACACAAACAGCGAAAATAAACAAACAAAATCCAATTCGCGAAGGGCGAAAAAAAAAAACCCGAATCCGATATTAATTAATTTTTTAATTTCAATTCCGACATATATCGTTGGGCATTGTATAAACAAATCAATTCGTTCGTATTAATTTAATTAAAAACAATATCCCGGGCCCTATATTGACAGTTTAATATTTCCATTTTATTTTTCCATTGCCGGATGGGTGCCGGTGGAAATTTATGAAATAAAAACAAGTTTATTCAGATTTTAATATTGGTAAAGGCAAATCCCTATATTATGTTTCATTGAATTGAGAATAATATCAATCCCTAATAAACAATCGGATTTTAAAAGAAAAAAAAAACAAAATAATTAATCGACGATGAACGTGATTTGAAAAAGGGGAAAACGTTTTCGATTGAAAAAAAAAAGGTGATTTTTCTCGTCGTCCATTTTCAATTTAGGGATGTAAATTAGTGGAAATTAAATCGAAAATATGGATTCTTTTCATTCAGTTGCTGATCTTATTTAGATAAGACGCGCCGGAGAGGTTTATAAAGGGCGCTCAAGACGCTATAGAGCTTTTTCTTGCTCAAAGATAAAATCCTACGGAAGAAATTGTCGTTTTTATAATAAAAAAATATATATTGACTTGGTCCGAAGGTGGTAGAATCCTTGTGGAACAGGCTTTAAAATCTTTTTACATGTATTGTAAGAATCTTATGGATGGATCGGCTTGAGATTCATATGATGGGATTGATTTGAACTTTTAAGAGGCAGCACGTAGACATGAATGTGGCACATTGTGCTATTTCCCCTCTTGGTGCAGGACTGTCTTACCCTAGGAGCCCCTAACTTTTAAGGAAGGTGCAGACTAGACCTGCTCAGGTCGGACATGCTGAGTCCGTTTTCGTGCAGGATGCCTCTTAGTTGGCTCTTATTTTTGGGATGCTCTTTGCCCCTTTGCAGTTTGAAGAACTTTGTATAAGGATCCTTGACTGGCTGAGGCCTTTTTGATTCACTCATCCGTCTTAGAACTGGCCATCAGACCAGTTTCTCATCTTGGTGTTCACGAGAAGCAACCCCAAGTGCAGGCTCTGACCTAATAGAGACAGTGTTGCTACCGCGTGACCCGAAACCCAAACAAGAATGACCTTGTTGAGTCCATTGAGTAATTCTAAGGTTATCAAACAGTCAAGCGTGAGCCTTGAGTTAACCTTGTCTGAGCAAAGTGCTGCCATACTGTCGCCGGATATATAAATATGCTTGCCCGAGTAACCTCTCTGGAGATTCTTCTGAGCACGTACCTGTATGGCATAAATCTCAGTCTGGTATTTCGTTGGGTATCGACCCAGTGCAAGACTTATTCTCGCCACAGGTCTCTCTCCATATACACCAGTCCCTGCAGCATTTCATATCAGGGAACCGTCTGTGCACCAGATGAGCCTCTTCGGCTTGAGAAAACCTGGGTCAGGCATTTTCTATGATGGGATAGTATAATAGAAAGTTTTTGTATTATGTATGTATGTACTACCTGTGGTAACACTTCATCCCGATAGGCCTCATCTTCCACTAACGCCATAATAGCCTCCGTAAGGGTCCGGCTGGTTTTTTTGACTTGCTCAATTGCTCTGGGTATGACAATAGCATTATTCACATGCTTTATGCCTTGCGTCCGCATGAACTCCCTTAAGGCTGCGCTATTATACGCCTTGCCTCTGTCTCTTATGATTCTGCTAGGATTTCCAAACACTCCAAAAGTCTCCTTTAGCTTCCTCCTCGGCTCGTACAGTCTTGACCGCATGAAAAAAGTTAGTGAATGCATCTATCACTATAAGTAGATATGCATTTCCTTTGATATTTCGTACAAAAGGCCCCAAATTTACCGTGTCGAAACGTTTCGCAACCTTTTCGATCGGGTGTAGGCCTCCTTCTGCTTTTCCGTAAACTCCTTTACTGGAAGCACACTCCATGCAATGGTTCACATTTTTCCGTATGAAGCGCCTCATGCGTGAGAACCAATAGATTCTCTTCACAAGGCTGAGACACTTCTCAAACCATGGGTGACCCACATCGTCATGACATTTTCTCAATAGGCTGAGCGCTGCCGCCGTAGGCACGTACAATCGTTCCCCTTCCAGGTTTTTACAATAAACTCTCCCATTTTTCACTTTGAAGTCTGCTTTGAGTTGCTCATCCGCTAGTCCTAACTCCACACTTGCATGAATCTTACGGATTCCCTCGTCCTGAAGCTGAACAGTCAAAAACCAGTCTATATCCCCAATTATGACGCTGACTTGTACTGGGTTCCTGCTCAGCGCGTCCACATGTTGCCCGAAGAGCAGCGCAATCTGTAACTAGCTTTAACGATATGCCTACCAGATACACTCGAAAACGCTTGATCGTTTCGGCTGCTGCCAGGGTCTCTAGATTGTAACTATGGTACATCTGCTCTGCTAGAGTTGTCACGAGACTCTAATACATCACTGCTTTCAACTGGCCACCACTTTGCTTCTGCAATAACACCTCTCCGAGTCCTATTATACTGGCGTCTGCATGGACTTCTGTATGAGCACCGGGGTTGTATAATACCAGAACGGGTCTGTCCACTAGTGCTCTTTTTAGGTCCTCAAAAGCCTCTTGTTGCTTCTCGCTCCACATCCATTGCACATCTTTCTTTGTCAATTAGCTCAAAGGTCTTGCCTTGACTACACAATCTCTAATGAAATTCCGCACTTGGCTCCGGAAATTCTTTAACTGCCCTGATCTTCCTATTTCCTGGACATATACCTTGTGCAGACAGCTCATGACCTTAAGAGTTGAAAAAAGAACACTTTGTTAGGTTTAATTTAAAACCCGCCTCCCTGATTTTATCTAGCACTCCCTGAAGTAGTAATACACCTTTTCTGAATCATACGAGATAGAAAAAGAAGGTCATCCATGTAGGAGAGCACTTGCTCTCCGCGCATGCTTCTCAGCATTTTGTTTATTGCTCACTGAAAAACAGCTGGACTGTTAGCCAACCCAAAAGGCACTCGAAGATATTCATAACACCCGTCTGGGGTAACAAACGCTGTCTTATGCATGGATGCAGGATGAATTAGTACCCAATGGAATCCTGCCACAAGGTCCAGTGTTGTATAATAGCATTTCCCAGCCAGCTTATCCAGTTGGACCTCCACGAGTGGCATAGGGTACCTGTCTTTTACTGTAATTTTGTTCAACTCCCAGTAGTCGACACAAAGCCTGATGTCGCCATTTTTTTTTCGGACTATGACCAGTAGACTGGCATGCTATGACCAATGAACTATAACCAAAAACTGGAATGCGTACACATAATTGACGAACGTGAAGCCTAGTGCCGCTGCTGCGGAGGAGATGCCTGTTTTTATCGCAGTCGTAACGTTAAATGGCGGAAATTGCTTTCAACACGTATTTCAATTAATAAAACCTGTGTAGGTAAATATAACAAAACTTCATATGTCAGCGAGTAACAGAAAAGAACAACATTCCCCTTGTGGCATCCGTCTTTGATGGCTTCAGTTTTCTAGCGGGTATGGCAATGTGTGCGCATTCCAGTTTTTGATTATAGTTCATTGACTCTGACTCGCTCGCCTTTATGATGCCATTAGGCAGTAATCCGTTCATTTTCTCCTGCACTTCAATACGCTCCGATCTAG